GTACTGGACATTTGGCTGCAAGAGTATGGTGATCACTCTTACAGTTGATGCAGGTGGGAGCAGCAGTGGAAGTGCAGGAGCGAAAGTCGTGATCTGCAGACCCACAGGTGGAACATATCTATTTATTCTTCACGTGACAATCAGCAGTAGAGTGGCTATACGAGTAGCATGTCCAACAAGGTGTTATGTAAGTGAATCGTTCAGGCTCAATCTGACGAGGGTTGATAAAGTAGTAAGAGATGGCCAGCCCATCAGATAATGCTCTAGTCGCCATGGTAACGTCAATGTGATCTTGAGGATCGAGGAAGCATTGGGGATCTTTACAACAGAGTCAATCTTGGCCAAAGTGTTGATGTCTTCAAGTGATGATGTAATTTCCTCGATAGACATGCTCGTGATTAGCCTGTCAAGATGTTTCATGAACACAGAGTGTTTTGCACGCATGCATGGTGACGTGGAGATGGTAAAACCGTGGTCATCTAATGTCTTCATGGCTGTAGGTATAAGTACTTTGTCAGCTTCAGCATCATTGAGAAAGGTGACGATGAAAGCTTCTTTCAGTGAAGTAATCTTGGAGAATTTGGCATGAAGACAAGTGTTGAGTGAGGTTGCAAGCTCTAGCTTCGTGGCGTCGTCGACGACAGCAGACTTGGGCTTAATTCTCACACGATGAGACATCGTGGAGGTGGTAGAGGTTACCCTCCCCAACGGGGATCGTAGGGAGACTGAACAAGTAAGGAGAGCTGCTATGACCTGCCAAGGCGAGAGTCAGAAGCAGAATGTGTGTCGAGGGGCAGGTGGTATTAGGAAAACTTGCCCAACTTTTCCACTAGTCCAGAGATCAAACCCCAGTCCCTCAGTGTGTCACCTGAGGCTACTATTAATTGAGCCATGAGCCCCTGAACTACTGTACTCTAAGTCCACATTCACATTCACTTTACCTAGAGACAATGTATTTGAGGCACAAAATGTTTTTCTGCTTGCCATAGCATTCAGTGCTTATACAGTAATTTTGGTTAATATCTCAACAATATTCTAATGAAATATCATCATTTTCAAATATCTATGCTCAGGAAATTGCATTATTATATTAATAGAAAGTGCTAAACCCATAAGGGTAATACAATCTTGGGGTAACATAGTGTTTTACATACTTATATTTTGTAATTTGTCCTATTTCCAACAGGTCATTTCCATTTACCAGCAATGTGGCTCATGTCTTTATCTTACTCCAGTTCTTGTGATCTTGACCTTATTCCTTCATTTGCAGATTGCTTGTAATCTAAATGAGTTTATAAAAATGGTCATAGTAGGTCATATAAATTTTTCTCTAGCTTTCAGTAATGATTTAACAAGCAAAAACAAAATCATTGGCATATTTTGACCCTTTAATAATAATAATAATATCTTTATTTACTACAAGTACATGTACAGGAGGAAAGAGGAGTGATTGGTGGAATGATGAAGTAAAGGGTGTGATAAAAGAGAAAAAGGTAGCTTACAAGAGGTTTTTACAAAGCAGAAGTGTTATAAGAAGAGCAGAGTATATGGAGAGTAAAAGAAAGGTGAAGAGAGTGGTGAGAGAGTGCAAAAGGAGAGCAGATGAAAGAGTGGGAGAGGCACTGTCAAGAAATTTTAATGAAAATAAAAAAAAAATTTTGGAGTGAGTTAAACAAGTTAAGAAAGCCTAGGGAAAGTATGGATTTGTCCGTTAAAAACAGAGTAGGGGAGTTAGTAGATGGGGAGAGGGAGGTATTAGGTAGATGGCGAGAATATTTTGAGGAACTTTAAATGTTGAGGAAGAAAGGGAGGCGGTAATTTCATGCACTGGCCAGGGAGGTATACCATCTTTTAGGAGTGAAGAAGAGCAGAATGTAAGTGTGGTGGAGGTACGTGAGGCATTACGTAGAATGAAAGGGGGTTAAAAGCAGCTGGAACTGATGGGATCATGACAGAAATGTTAAAAGCAGGGGGGGATATAGTGTTGGAGTGGTTGGTACTTTTGTTTAATAAATGTATGAAAGAGGGGAAGGTACCTAGGGATTGGCAGAGAGCATGTATAGTCCCTTTATATAAAGGGAAAGGGGACAAAAGAGATTGTAAAAATTATAGAGGAATAAGTTTACTGAGTATACCAGGAAAAGTATACGGTAGAGTTATAATTGAAAGAATTAGAGGGAAGACAGAATGTAGAATTGCGGATGAGCAAGGAGGCTTCAGAGTGGGTAGGGGATGTGTAGATCAAGTGTTTACATTGAAGCATATATGTGAACAGTATTTAGATAAAGGTAGGGGAAATTTTTATTGCATTTATGGATTTAGAAAAGGCATATGATAGAGTGGATAGAGGAGCAATGTGGCAGATGTTGCAAGTTTATGGAATAGGTGGTAAGTTACTAAATGCTGTAAAGAGCTTTTATGAGGATAGTGAGGCTCAGGTTAGGGTGTGTAGAAGAGAGGGAGAATACTTCCCGGTAAAAGTAGGTCTTAGACAGGGATGTGTAATGTCACCATGGTTGTTTAATATATTTATAGATGGGGTTGTAAAGGAAGTAAATGCTAGGGTGTTCGGGAGAGGGGTGGGATTAAATTATGGGGAATCAAATTCAAAAGGGGAATTGACACAGTTATTTTTGTGATGTACGTGCTTTATGGGAGATTCTAAAGAAAAATTGAAAAGGTTAGGGGAGATTTGAGAATTTTGGTAAAGGTAAAAAGTTGAAGTAAAAACATAGAAAAAAGGGAAAGGGGATGAGGGTACAAATGATTTTTATAAAGAAAAAATGGATATCAAATTGGGAGGGGGAGTATGGAAAAAAGTGAAAGTTTTAGTACTTGGGGGTTTTACGTTTCGGCGGATGGATTTATGAAGGTGAGGTTATCATAGAATTGATGAGGGGGAAAAAGGGGTGGGCGTTTAGGTATATGTGGATCAAAAAAAAGTTTCTATGGAGGCAAAGAAGGGAATGTAGAAAGTATAGTAGTACAACATTTAATGGATGGAAGCTTGGGTGGAAATCAGCAGGAAGGAGACGGTTTGGGGGCATGGGAGTCCGTCTAAAGGGGAAAGTGTGGTGTAATTTATCAGAAAATTCGGGTGTGGAAATTAGGAGAAGGTGGGTTAAAAAAAGCATTTGTCAGAGGGGAGAAGAGGGGTTGTTGAGGTGGTTTTGGGCATTTAGAGAGAATGGATCAAAATAGAAAGACATGGAAAGAATTTTAAAAAATTTTTGGGGAAAGGAAAGAGGGGTAGGGTCGTCCTCGAAAGGGGTTGGGAAAAAGGGGGTAAAGGAGGTTTTTTGGGGGAGGGGGTTGGCTTCCAGCAAGCGTGCATGAGCGTGTTGATAGGAGTGAATGGAGACGAATGATACTTGGGACCTGACGATTGTTGGAGTGGAGCAGGGTAATATTTAGTGAAGGGATTCAGGGAAACCAGTTATTTTCATATAGTCGGACTTGAGTCCTGGAAATGGGAAGTACAATGCCTGCACTTTAAAGGAGGGGTTTGGGATATTGGCAGTTTGGAGGGATATGTTGTGTATCTTTATACGTATATGCTTCTAAACTGTTGTATTCTGAGCACCTCTGCAAAAGCAGTGATAATGTGTGAGTGTGGTGAAAGTGTTGAATGATGATGAAAGTATTTTCTTTTTGGGATTTTCTTTCTTTTTTGGGTCACCCTGCCTCGGTGGGAGACGACCGACTTGTTGAAAAAAAAAAAAAAAAAAAACATGTACATGGTATACAGGCCTAGCTAACAACAATGACATACTACTGTATAGAAAGCCCCTTGTTATGCTCCGCATGTCGGGCAAATTAGGTCAGTATCCCAGGATGCGACCCACACCAGTCGACTAACACCCAGGTACCCATTTTACTGATGGGAAACATAGGCAACAGGTGGAAAGAAACACATACAGCACCTCTATCCTCACTATTACTGTCTCCCAGGACAGCATCTCCAGCTTCACTATTACTGTCTACCAGGACAGCATTAACAGCCCCACATTTACTGACTACCAGGGCAGCACCTCCAGCCTTACAGTTTCTGACTACATGGCCAGCACCAAGGGCGATACCATCCAGCCCAGACTTTTTATTTTCCCATCTGTTATAGAATGCTTCCAGGTTTTCTATGAAGGCTGCTTTGATGTTATCCTCTTTTAATACCAATGTGATTTTAGCCCACAAATTGCTCTCATTTGGGCATACCCAAAAACACTTCCCTGATTTAATACTGCTTGTAGATAGTTCTTGGATATCTGTACAAGGGGTGTGACACCAATTTTCACAAAAATGGCAATTTATCCATGCGGAAGCCCGTTTGTTTGATTGACTGCAGACTACACAGAGCTTCATAATGTGATTTGAATGGTTGATTTACTGTAATTCTACTAGTAACCTCTTGAATATTCTACTAATAACCTCCTTAAAGTGAAGCTCTAGCTATTTGTATTTCTATTTCTATGCACTGAGTGCTGCAGGATTTTTTTTATACTGTGCACACTTATCACATAGACCCATTCTTTCATATGTAGGCCTACCAGCTTTCTCTCACTAGATTTGAAGGCGCTAGAATTTAGGCATTCTAGTACGTCAATAACCCTGATGCGTAAGCTGTACTAGTATGTCAGAAACCCTGAAAGGGTTAAAATACTTGAAAATTTGGAAAGTTTCCAGACATAATGGAGAGATGTGGCGCTCATTGAGAATGTAAACAAACCGGATGGGGCATGGTGACTGTATTAGAAAGTCAGGTGGGGGAGCCGTATAGCAAGTTTTGGTCATAATTTGAAATGTCCGTACTAACGGAATGCCATAGAGTGGGACCCTACTGTATTAAGCGAGCAATAGAGCTGGGCCTAAAAAATACATATACAGTACACACATTCCTTACCGTAAAGGGAAGCACTAAAGCAGGGCCTTCCTGTACCTAGTTTTAAACTAACCATGCCAGTTCGAGAAGTAGAACTCAAGTGATGAATATTTTACTTTTGCAGGTGAATATGAGTTCAATAGGATAAAATCATCAACACCAGTGGAGAAACCAGCATTTAAAAGAAAACTTTGGAATGCTTCTGATTTATTTAGTGAGAAGAGTGTAAGTCCAGTCCAAGAGAGTGAAAACTGTCCTACAGTTTCCAAAAGATTTGCCATTATTCAAAGAGGTAAATGTGACAAGAGAGAAACCAAACAGAGAGGACATGTGTCATGTTCAAAACAGGGAGAGTTTTCTTGGCAAAGTGATAGAGATCAAAGTGGTGAAAATGTAGATGAGAAAGGTAAACAAAGTGGTGATAGTGCAGATAAGAAAGGTATATATGAAGAACCAAAAAAAAAAAAAAAATTTGAATGTGATAAATATCTTGAAGATGACATAGGAAAAAAAATTAAAGCAAAAAATCACTGTACAAAATGTAGTGCTAACAGTAACACTAAACAAGATAAGTTTGAAAAACAGGATAAGGAAGAGGAAGTGGAAGAAGAGAATGGTGGTTTATTTAAAAAACAAGTTGAATATGAAGAACAGGGTGATGATTATGAAGATGAAAATGAAGAAAAGTGTGATAATGTGAATAAAAAACAAAGTAAGAAAAAATGTATCTTTAAGAAGTGTAATACTGATGGTGATAGTGAAGAACCCAATAACAAAGATGGAGAGTATATGGAACAGGAAGATACTAATAGTAATTATGAACATCCCAGTGGCAAAGATGGCAAGAACAGAGAATTTTGCAATAAAGATGGTACTGATGGCAATAATGAACTAAATAATGAATGTGATGTACAGGTACAAGATGATACCATTGTTGATGATGAACTCTATAATAAAGATGCAAATTATGAAGAGGTATATAATGGTGGTGATGATGAAGAACATAGTAATAAAGGTTCAGATTATGAAGAAGTTTATAATGGGGGTGATGAAGAATGTTGCAGTAAAGATGCAGAGTATGAAGAGAGTTGTAATGGAGACAAAGAACCTTATAATAAAGATGCAGATTTTGAAATTTATAATGGTGATGAAGAACATTGTATTAAAAATGTAGATTATAAAGGTTATAGTGGTGGTGGTGATGAAGAACCCTGTAATAAAGATGTGGAGTATGAAGATTATAATAGTGGTGGTGAAGAACATTGTAATAAAAATGCAGATTATGAAGAGGGTTATAATGATGGTGAAGAAGAACATTGTAATAAAAATGCAGATTATGAAGAGGGTTATAATGATGGTGAAGAAGAACATTGTAATAAAAATGCAGATTATGAAGAGGGTTATAATGATGGTGAAGAAGAACATTGTAATAAAAATGCAGATTATGAAGAGGGTTATAATGATGGTGAAGAAGAACATTGTAATAAAAATGCAGATTATGAAGAGGGTTATAATGATGGTGAAGAAGAACATTGTAATAAAAATGCAGATTATGAAGAGGGTTATAATGATGGTGAAGAAGAACATTGTAATAAAAATGCAGATCATGAACAAGATTATAATGGTGGTGGTGGTGATGAGTCCTGTAATAAAGATGCAGATTATGAAGGTTATAATGGTAATGAAGATGAGCACTGCAGTAAAGATGCAGATTATGAAGGTTATAATGGTGATGGTTGTGATGAGCCCTGTAATAAAGATGCAGGTAATGAGACAGATACGTTTGTTGACGATAAGCACAAAGAACCGGATAATCATAAAGGTGAATATAAAGAAAAGGACAATATTGCTGAATATGAACGCAGCAGTGATGGTGAATATGAACCTTGGGAAGATGATGACTGTGGAAATCAAAATAATGATGGTGAATTTGACAATGACGATGGTAATAAAGAATGTGATAAAAATAATAATTCTGAATGTGAAGATCAAGATAACAGTGATGATGAGTGTGAAAATCAAGATATTAATAGTGAATATGAAGATGAGAAGGGTGATTGTGAAGAACCAAAAAAGAATGATGGAAATCTAGGCAGTGAAAATGATGAGCTAAATAATAATGAACATCAAGATAATGACGATTATGAAGAACAAGATTATGATGAAGGGGATAATGCTGAAGATGGAGAGAATGATGATTTTGATAACCAAAATAATGGGTATGAACAAGGTGAAAGTTATGAAGATAATGACAAACAGTATGACAGTGGAGACTCTGAAGAACAAGGCAGTGAAGCTAGAAAAGAACATAGTAAAGATAGTGAGGATGAAGGTGACAGTAAAGATGCATGTGAAAATCAAGAAATTAATCATGTTGAGTATAAAGATGATGACAAGGGTGATTATGAAGAATCAAAAGAGAATGATGAAAATCGAGGCAGTGAAAATGTTGAGCAATATAATAACAGTGAATATAAAGATAATGGTGAGTATCATGAAGAACAAGATTTTGATGATGAAAAGGATAATGCTGAAAATGAGGAGCATGATTTTGAAAAACAAAATAAATGAGCATGGTGAAAATTATGAAGATAATGACAAACAGTATGAAAGTGGAGTCTATGAAGAACAAGGTAATGAAGACAGAAAAGAATATGGAAAAGATAGCAAGTATAAAGTACAAGATCATAAAATAGCATATAAAAAACAAAGTGATTTTGTTGGAGAATGTGAAAAAGGTGATAATGAAGACTGTGTAAAAAGTTGTACCTTACATGTAAAAGGTGGCTATAGTGACCACAGAAAGCAAGACCAATGTTGTTTTGAATATGAGAGACAGAATGATCACATGCAACATAATTACAAATTAAAAATCAAAGACAATAATGATAAGGATGGGATGTATAAAGATGGTAGTGATAGTGAGAATGGGAAACAAGGTAGTAACAAAGGTGGACTGAGAAGACACAGTGATAATCAAGAACAAGGTGATAGTGAGACTGATGAGCAAAGCTGCTGCATGTGTGAAGGATCTGCTTATGATGCTGACAGTGAAGACGAAGAATATAGTGATAATGTACAGGACCATAAAGTTAATCTTGATGTCTCTGGAGTATTTAAATATGAGGGAGAAGCTAGCTTTGAAGGTGACCAGGAAAAGAGGAAATCTGAAGATTTTACTGTTCTTAAAAATATCCTTAAAACAGATAAAAATATTCATGGCAGTAATGTTGCTGTTAAACTGGAAAAAAATAAGAAACAATGTGACCTTAATGAAATTACTGGAGAAAGCAAAGATGAAAAGTGTACTATTAAAGTAGACAATCAGGCAGTTGAAATTGATGATAGCAAATATCAATATATCAGCAGGTATAAGCATAGAGGACAAGGTGATCTTACAAGTGCCTGTGAATTGAGTAAAAATGGAAAACAAGTTGATCAGGTAAGATGCGAAGTTATATCAGAAAGTGAACCTGAGATGTTAGATGAATCTTACAGTGACTCATTATCTGCACTTGGCATTCCTATGCATAAATCACTGAGAAATAGTCCAGAGTTATTCAAATCATTTAGAGATGAGCGGGATATTCTCAGAAGTAATACATCATGCAAGAATAATAAAGATTTATCTGGTTATGTCTCACCAACTGATGCATATTTTGTATCTGGATGTGTATCACCAGTAGGTAAACACCTGGATCGTTCAAATTATCCGAGTGATCATGAGCATACAGCTCTCTACAGGTTCAGTTCTAGACACTTAAAGAAGTATAGAGAAGAAGAAAAATCAAAACCCTCTGCTTCCAGTTCTTGTAAAGAGGACACTGTAAAAGTAAATGTATCAATTTCTAAATCTCATCTCAGACAAGAACTTTGCTTACCAATAAAAAAAAATAGACCTTCCTCACCAGATTCAGGTGAGAATGATGTAAGTCAGGAAATTCAACTAAAATATAATGAGCTTTAACTTGTTTTGATAAATGACTATAATGATTGGGTAATTAATGAACTTCATTTCTGAATAATTTGTGTTTTATCAAATAGTATATGGATTTGATATTTATACTAGGAACGTGTGATGTTACTGCATAAGCTTTTTTCTATACAAGTATGTTTGTTCTTTATCAGTAATAGGTTGTTATACAAAGGATTGTATTGTATATGCAGTTGTGCTTGTATCCCTAGTCTTCACCCCCTCCCCCCAAAAAAGAAAAAAAAGTGCACATAGCTAAAATATTATTTATTTTATAAAAGATGGTGAGCTTTTCTTGTAGAGGTTGGAAATCTGAATTATATACGGGCAGTTAACAGGCAAATAAATAATTTTGTTATATCTTAAAAATATTGATATTAATGTTTTATTTGGTTTAAGTATCACATTTGACTAGTTTGTGGAGCTGGAGTCTATCCATTACTTCACATGTCTGATTATATAATGTATAGTTCACAGTAACACATGTAAACCCTACTTCTACATGTCTCATACATAATCTGATTAGGTAGTGAGAGCCATGCACATCAGTGATATACTAACAAGTATGTTAATAAGACGTAATCAAGATTACTCATCTAGGATGAGTGACTTGTTACCTCGCCTTCCTCTGTCTCCAGTATTAACACCTCCAGTAACCTCTGAATTGAATTGCTAAAAGCTGCTGGTGGCATAATGTCTTAAGAATAAAGATATCCAGGTGTTGTACATGTCTTATTTATCAACTTGATGGTATTATCTTTTACTTCTACTATCCATATTATCATAATGTGAGACCCATCTTAGTTATACATGTATATCATTCTTTAAATCGTTATACTCTTAAGAATAATCAAAGATCATATATTTTTTATTAGAATAGATATATATATTTTTTTGATAAGAGGATATATATTTTTTTATAAGAGAAAATAATATTTATATATATATATATTATATATTATATATATATATATATATATATATATATATATATATATATATATATATATATATATATATATATATATATATATATATATATATATATATATATATATATGAAATTTAATAGGCTTTGTGTTTAATACATTTATATATATTTATTATTATAATGCATTTACTACATGCTTTCTGTTGTTAAGAATTACATTAAAATTAAACATTATGTTGTCTAAAATATTGTATTCACTGTCCCCATATTTTAGTACTTAATGAACTTATAATTGCTTATTTCTTTTAACCCCTTAACTGTCCAAACATAGAGCTACGTTGTTACCACTAGCACTCCAAACGTAGATCAACGTTTTATTTTTCTTGCCTCCAAATTTGGCACAATTGGCTTGAGATGCCTGGTCAGCACAAAATGGGTCTTAACACTCAGTGTGTGCAGTATTAAAAAATCTGGGACCACTTAGTACCTTGCGGAAGCACCAATTCAACTGAGTGCCAGCTAGAGCAAACAGCGTGGCAAACGCCAGGGATTCACTGATGTCATGTCCTATTAACACTCCCCTTTTAAGAGGAGTGATGTTGAGCCTGAGTTTAGTGGCTTTGAGGTGGATGTGGCCACAAATGGTTGAGGAAATATCAAAAACCTTGATAATTACCCATGTGCAGCATCCTTTCAATTTTGGTATCACTGGTAGTGTCATCCTGCCAGAATAACTTATAACCCATGCCCTAAGTAAAGAGAAACAATTTTGGAACGTGTAATACGTGTTTGGCTGGCCGGCTGATTGCCTTTGGCTGTCTCTATCTCCGTCTGTCTGTCTGTATCTATCTCTGTCTATGTCTGTCTGTCTCTATCTCACAGGTACACATAAATACAATTATCTTTCTTCTTTCAACAAACCTGCTGTATCCCACTGAGCCAGAGTAGCCCAAAAAGAAAAATGAAAGTTTCTCTTTTTAAATTTAGTAATTTATACAGGAGAAGGGGTTACTAGCCCCTTGCTCCCAGCATTTTAGTCGCCTCTTACAACATACATGGCTTATGGAGGAAGAATTCTGTTCCACTCTCCCATGGAGATACCTGGAGTTTACCTGGAGAGAGTTCCGGGGGTCAACGCCCCCGCGGCCCGGTCTGTGACCAGGCCTCCTGGTGAATCAGAGCCTGATCAACCAGGCTGTTGCTGCTGGCTGCACGCAAACCAACGTACGAGCCACAGCCCGGCTGATCCGGAACTGACTTTAGGTGCTTGTCCAGTGCCAGCTTGAAGACTGCCAGGGGTCTGTTGGTAATCCCCCTTATGTGTGCTGGGAGGCAGTTGAACAGTCTTGGGCCCCTGACACTTATTGTATGGTCTCTTAACGTGCTAGTGACACCCCTGCTTTTCATTGGGGGGATGGTGCATCGTCTGCCAAGTCTTTTGCTTTCGTAGTGAGTGATTTTCGTGTGCAAGTTCGGTACTAGTCCCTCTAGGATTTTCCAGGTGTATATAATCATGTATCTCTCCCTCCTGTGTTCCAGGGAATACAGTTTAGGAACCTCAAGCACTCCCAATAATTGAGGTGTTTTATCTCCGTTATGCGCGCCGTGAAAGTTCTCTGTACATTTTCTAGGTCGGCAATTTCACCTGCCTTGAAAGGTGCTGTTAGTGTGCAGCAATATTCCAGCCTAGATAGAACAAGTGACCTGAAGAGTGTCATCATGGGCTTGGCCTCCCTAGTTTTGAAGGTTCTCATTATCCATCCTGTCATTTTTCTAGCAGATGCGATTGATACAATGTTATGGTCCTTGAAGGTGAGATCCTCCGACATGATCACTTCCAGGTCTTTGACGTTGGTGTTTCGCTCTATTTTGTGGCCAGAATTTGTTTTGTACTCTGATGAAGATTTAATTTCCTCATGTTTACCATATCTGAGTAATTGAAATTTCTCATCGTTGAACTTCATATTGTTTTCTGCAGCCCACTGAAAGATTTGGTTGATGTCCGCCTGGAGCTTTGCAGTGTCACAAATGGAAGACACTGTCATGCAGATTCGGGTGTCATCTGCAAAGAAGACACGGTGCTGTGGCTGACATCCTTGTCTATGTCGGATATGAGGATGAGGAACAAGATGGGAGCGAGTACTGTGCCTTGTGGAACAGAGCTTTTCACCGTAGCTGCCTCGGACTTTACTATGTTGACGACTACTCTCTGTGTTCTGTTAGTGAGGAAATTATAGATTCATCGACCGACTTTTCCTGTTATTCCTTTAGCACGCATTTTGTGCGCTTTTACGCCATGGTCACACTTGTCGAAGGCTTTTGCAAAGTCTGTATATATTACATCTGCATTCTTTTTGTCTTCTAGTGCATTTAGGACCTTGTCGTAGTGATCCAATAGTTGAGACAGACAGGAGCGACCTGTTCTAAACCCATGTTGCCCTGGGTTGTGTAACAATAACAAGAACTAGAAAGAAAATAGAAGAAAACACAGAGGGGTGTGTATATATATGATTGTACATGTAAGTGTAGTGTGACCTAAGTGTAAGTAGAAGTAGCAAGACGTACCTGAAATCTTGCATGTTCATGAGACAAAAAAGGACACCAGCAATACTACCATCATGTAAAACAATTACAGGCTTCCGTTTTACACTCGCTTAACAGGACGGTAGTACCTCCCTGGGCGGTTGCTGTCAATTACGGTTATACATAGTGTAAATTACCTAGGATAACCCAAAAAATACAGACAAAGTGCTTGTCGATATAATGCATAATAAGCATGACTGGCAAGTAATACACATTTT